TTGGATCAGCAGCACTTATTGGCCGCCATCCGCTGTCCGATATTCCTATCTAAGGAAGTCGCCAACTTCCTTATTCTACTTTTAAACATTGTTCGGCTGTTATTTGAGTCGCTCCTATCGTCCGTTAGATTCGCTTCGTGTCTCAAGTATCCCTTGACACATGGACTCACCGATGGTTTACGTGATACGTGCGTGGTTCGAACCGTCTTGGGCCTCCGCAATGCCAATGCCAATGCCCCTAAATTATACACATTTACCAATGTTTTCTGTGCGCTCGCTGAGCTGCAGAACCGTTTAACTCGCATCGGGGGGGGGGGGGGGGGAAAAAAAAAAAAAGGGGGGGGGGGGGGGGGGGGGGGGGGGGGGAATTTTTTTTTTTTTTTTTTAAGTAATTGCATCTTTTTTCGTATGACATTTTTCTTATTATCTCTTTGCATTATTTTTTATTTCTACATTATTATTCTCATAAAAATATTTATCCAAACTAACGACAATTCGCCTTCGTTAATATTACCTTATTTTTCATTATCATTATTATATAACACATAATTGACAATAAACTCACGAGCATCGTATTAACAACAATATAAAATATTTCCTCCCCTTTCGTTCAATTATCATTTGTGTTTTGACAATTTACAGATTCGATATTTCTCTAGTACCATTGAAAATGAAAATTTAATATTTCATACAACCAAACTCACGCGTTTCTTTTTCGCCTAATAGATCTTCTATTCTCTATTTTTATTCGGTATCCTAGGAAAGCCAATCTTATTTATTTATGAAAAAATTATACAAAAGAATAATTAAAAAAAATTTTTTTTTTTTTTTTTTAGCAAATTCACTACTATTCCCATGATATTGCGAACCATTATTAAAACTTCATGACGGATGTCGTTTTCTTTCCAATTAAGTACATCGATACCTGTGTACATTTATATTTTTTGTTTTTTAATTTTAAATAAGGGAGTTTAATAAAAAAAATAAAGGGCAAGTTAAGTTTCGTTAATAAAATTTAATAGTTAAAAATGAATTTGTCATCCATTACAGGCAGGATTAAGGAGATAAAATGAGCGTGACGAGAGACTATTTTTATATTTTAACGATTTGATTGAAATTGTTGGAAAAAATGTTTTGCCATAAGAGAATTATATTTACTTTTCCAATTTACTTGCAAAACACGACAACAGCAATAAAGGACTAATTATCTTGGATTTTGAATGGATTTTGAATGGATTTTGAATGGATTTTGAAGATATTCCATTTAAAGGCAAATTTTTGCTTTGGTTTTTCAGCTTTCCGTTCCAAGTTTCAATGCTATTGCGGCTAAAATCAAACAAGCTTTAAACAAAAAACAAAAGATAACAAATGTATTGGATAATGGTAATAGAGTATGAAGTACATGGGATTTATATAGAACTTAGGATCGTTTATTAGATATCAAGTTTTACAAATATTATCACACACGTCTTTTAATGAATGTTCTCGGGAGATGGCCGTATTGTATATTGTACAAATATAATAATTATATTAAGTGACTATATATACGTATATAAATAATTGATTACTTATAAAATGGTGCGTTCTCATTTTATGTACATTAGTATAAAGCACGATTTATCTAAAGTTTCTTCTGTATCGTCGTCGATTGGTAGGAGAGAGAAAACACTGAAAATACATCGTTCGTTGATGTGAATCGCTTTCCCCCTCTCCCTCCTGTATTTTATCTTTTCATAGTCTTATTTTTTTTTTTTTATTTTTTTTTTTTTTATTTATTTGTTATAGCGAAAATTAACTATCAAGCGGATTTTCATTTTAAACTTTTTTTATTTTTTTATTTTTTTTTATTTTTTTTTACTAACGTTCGCATCGTTTTGTTGCTCTCGGCGTAATTATTGAATCAATAAATAATGTTAATTGTAGATAGTTAAATATGCAACTAGACTAATTATATACTTTTGTGGTAAAATATAGGCCTGTGCGCTTTATTGGCCTATTATAAGAAAAAAAAGCGCCATACTAATTACCATCTCGTTTCTTCCAAACACTAACACTTCATTATCTTTCTTATTTTGTACGCCGTTAAAATGTCTTTATATGATAATAATTCGTCTGTGACACAGTTCGTATACAATATTTATAAGACTTTAGAGCTTTTAATGTTTAAATAGCGCGCCACGCGACTTTGAATACTTTCCTTAAGCACACTCACATTGAAATCTGATATTTTCTAAGCAATCCATTAAGAATGTCCTTGTAAGGCATTAAACATGGCGATAAGTCCTTTCGTAAAACGATATACAATTAATTTAATTAAATAATCCAAGCGATTATCAATATTGTTTGATTTACATGAACCATGTCAGATGAGTAAAATTTTGATTTTCTAAACGTATGTAACGCGATAATGTGTAAGCGGTAGCACACAATATATGTGAAGAAAAAATGCACAGTCTTCTTTTAGGCACGATTATACAATTTTTGTGTACCGCTTGCATGTAATTGCTAGACTTGTCGATGAGATTTACGCTAATCGGGAATATTTTTTATTTGTTTTCCTTATTCATCATCATTATGAAATCATCGACACTAATCTGTATTTACAAATTGGTCTCTCGAGTCTAAAACGCTCAATAAAATACGAAGATTTAAAATTGTAAAAATGCGATTGCAATATTATTGTTATATTAATTGGGGAGAGGGAGAGGGAGAGGGAGAGGGGGAGGGGAGGGGGAGAGTACGAGAGTTTAGTTACGCATATGTAATATATTTAATTTTTGTATGTTTCTCGATGGATTTTTATTTACGAAATTACCGACGGTAATTTGACTTGACCTATTTGCAATCCTTTCCTCAAAAAAAAAAAAAAAAAAAAAAAAAAAAAAAAAAAAAAAAACTTCTTTCTTTTTTCGCTATTATTAATATTGACGAGAACTCGAGATAAACGAATTATACATAATTATACATATATAATAGCTATACAAAAATATAAAATACCTAGCATTTGCAAATAAATGTGTAATGTACTAGAAAGCGCGATGAAAATCTTTCATTGTTTATGTAATATTAGATCTCGGATGAATTTTGTCACCCACATTCAACAATAAGCCCGTCAATGTCTAAAAACTTAATTATAAGTTATTTAGCTAATCGAAGTGATAATTTGCATAGATTATACACAACGTAAGACGTATAGAGAATAATTTTCATGCTTCGTTTGCAAATTTCGTACAATATACACATTTGCGTATAATTATATAAAATTTCCTCGTCACCGTATTCTTCGCGTAAAAACGTGATTTTGTCATTAAATTAGAAATATTCTTGATAGCTACTAATACAGATCTTTTTATTAAGCGTAAAAACTACATCCCTACAATTATACGTACGAATGAGGGAAAGAAATTATGCGCAATTATTTATTAATAATACTCAACTTTCAACTAAAGTCTGGCCTCTTCATCGTCTTATTTATGATACAAAATTATTTTACAACGAAACCAAACTTTCTCAACTCAAATCCACATACGCTCATTTTATACGCTCAAGTGGCCTAACTTCTTTTTTACATCCATAGAATCGATGATCGACGATAATAACGATACTATTTTTCTAAGAAACAATTGCTCTTATTCTTTTTCCTTTCAATTTATCCAATGAGATCATAATACTAGACGACTAACTTTATGTTGGTAAATGGAAAAAGTAACTATTATATATATATATATATATATATATAATAACGGAATTTATCGGCCGAGTTGCTTCTTCAATTATATCTTTAAGAAAGGGCTTAAGAAGCAGCTTAACAGTACGCATAATAATTTTTAAGGCCGTCAAATGCTTAGTTCGGGCGATGCCTCGCGTCCTCGGCGCTCACTCTTCTTCCATTCTCCAGAATCTCCATTGGAATCTAAATGAATCCCAGACAAGAGACTTCAATTCGAATTTCAAATTTGATAATTATGTACTCTGGCAAGTAGCGTCTCATAAACTTTTTTTCTTTCGTTTTCATTATCGTTTTTATTAAAAATAATCACGCTCTCAATTAAAAGGAATAGTCATATAAAATTGTTTTTTGTTCATCGAAAAAGAGACACTTCTTCATTATGGCAGTTTATAGATTCTAGATTCTCGTACACGTTAATATTATTTTTCTTTTTGTTTTTGTTTTTGTTTTTGTTTTTGTTTGTTTTGTTTTTGTTTACGAAGTTACATGACGATGGTCGATATACCTCGGTATACAAAGCATTAGGCTCAACCCAGCCTTTTTGTTTCCCTTTACGTTCTCTTTCTTTGACTTTTTCGCCTTTTGTCTTAATTATTCTGTCTATTACATTACTGTTCGAAGCGATGCTCGGTTTCTTCCATTTATAATGGTCTGCGGGTGCCGTAAGACATCTCGGGATTCGGCCGAAGAAACTTTTTAAATATCCTCTGAAAACTGCTGCGCGCGTCAATGCACACTTGTGCTTAGCTGCAACAACATCACGTTTGTATTTTAAGGTATATTTATGTGGAATGGCGGGCGGGCGGGGTTGGGGTCAGAGGAAACCAAGCATGATATTATTGTGAGAACGCCACGTTCGAGTTCTCTCAATGGGCATGTACGCGGCAAATTAGTGTTTGGCCGTCAAGGTTACTTGCGCGACAAACCAATTCACATTTCATTCAAAGTCAGCGTCAATGCTTCTTAATCATGCTAGTGCAGTTTAGTGACAACGACTAGAGCGACATTATGTTTTCGTGCAATTTGTTTAAAGGGAAAGCAAAATTCGTTATTTTGCAAACTGCCCGTTCGTACTCTCGACTACTTCGACTGTCATTACTTAATTTTTATTTCATTCTATATCATTGTTATTTTATTTATTTATTTATTTATTTTATTTTTTTTCTGTATTTTATTTTATTCTACCTCATTATTATCATTATCATTTTAATTTTCATTGTTATTTTTATGGATTTTTTCTTTTGTTTTTCGTTTTGTTTTTGTTTGTTTTTGTATCAAACGTCAAGTTCATCGATTCAAGTGTACGCAGTCTATCCGATTTATGGGGATGGCACGTGCTTTATAGGAATTCACTCTTAGCATTCAAATTCGGATGCGGTTATGGCGTTCAAGTCTTTCATAAGTCCCTCAAGATTTGCCATCTCCTGGTTCAGCTCCTCGGTACTGTACGACGGCTGCGGAAAGAAAGGGGTCACTCAAAACGTTATTGCCAAAGCGATTCGTTTTATTAATTTATCTTTTTCACTTTTAATGTTAGGCACACACGTTTATAATGTCAGAGAATAATGCATTTTTCAATTAATACTATACTGAAATCAACTTGGCTTGATTATTATCAATAATATTCGATTGTAAGGCCGGGCAACTCTTGGGCTAAATCGATTAATCAGCCGGTATTTATTACATTTCTCGCGCGTTACTTTCAACTTCAGTATAGTTTATGCTCGGGTAGGAAGAATTGCAGACAAGAGCGCTTGCAAGTGGGAACGACTGTTAAGTAAAAGCTTAAAATTTTGTTGTTGATAACGATAGGGGACCAGAAGATAAAAGCAATTTACCTTTAACCTCTCGATCTCTTCGGGTGTGTGATTTGTATTCGTCACAGAGGCAAGTCGATTCTTTATCAATTGACTCGAGCTCGCCGCCTTTTTGTAGGGACTTCCGGATATGGTCGGTCTAACGGTAACTTGAGAAACTGAAAAGTAAAAGTATTTCTTTACTTACTGGCTGATACGAATATTTTTTTTTTTATCCATCATTTTCAAACGACTGTTACTTTAACGAATTATTAATAGTAAAGCAAAATAGAAAGTAAAATGATACGAAAACGAATCATCGTGCACTTCAT